ATTAAATCATCTGGGCATTTAAATTTGAATTGTTATACATGCCATAAATAAATTGTTATATATTGTCGTAAATTATTCTCCATTGGACTTACTCTTTCTTGCTGATAGAGGTTTCATTTTCTTGACTTGTGTCCCATTCAAGCTATTTCTGAATCACATAATGATATGTAGCACTTTATATGGCTTGATGTAATGTGTTTCCCCCCAATTTACTATGATTTAAGAGGATTTAGATGGCTTTAAATAATGGGGAAATTGCTGTGCGGGAAGAAACATTTGCATAAAAATAAATGGTTTTTGGTTTTTCTAAGGATTATTTCCATGTGCTGTTTATTAAAATTTTACATATTTCATATGTATTCCAATTCTTACTGAAATTCAATAGATGACTGGCAAAGGCTTTTGGCTGATACAGACAAAAGAAGTTTCAATGAAAGCTGATGATGCTCAACGAGTGTTCCAGCAAAGAGCATCTGAATTCATCCCTTTACTTGACAAAGGTATAATTATTTGAAAAACTCCAAAAAATTAAAACTGTTTCTTCAATCTGAATGTAATTCCTAAGGCAGGGGGCAATGAAAATTAATACTGTACATAAATCTTTTTAAAAATGCTTTGTCACCAAGTGGCACATTTCACTTGCTTCACTTCACATAATGATCATACCATTATTTTTTTACAACAAGTAATAGGCAAAGATTATTTATAAAAGCTGTACTATCAATATTATTCTTGAAGGCAATACAGGAATATGCTGGTTTCATTGCAAAACTGAATTTTGATAAAGTTTCTGTTATTTATAGACTTGATACTGATCATCAGCTACTGTAAAATACATTTTAGCTGTATAATTTATGAAAGCTTTAGCAACATTGCAACATACGTAATTCAAAATATAAAAGAATAAGCAGGAACAAATTTTGGTTCCCAATAAGAAGCATGCATTGTTCTAATGTCAAGAACCATATATACTCCTAAATACAGTAGGTGCTGTTGTATCAAAGCATAATTCTAGTAGTCTTGTCTTCTTCAAATTTAAAAGAGAAATGAATTCTCCCATGATATAAGGTTTAGACTTTCTTTTGAAGATTTATCCAAAATAAAATTTGGTTCTGAGTTTAGGAAAACTCCTTCCCAACTCAAAAAAATAAGCAGGGAACATAAACAGACAATATCCAGTATGATGTCTACTTTCTGTCAAGCTAGGCTAGTCAACTCTAGATGAAATCCTTTCTGGAGACTTCTCCCAACATATGTGTGCACAGGCATATGTACATATGTATTTCCACTTATATACTTGCTAGAGGTTGCATTCCAAGAAAACCCAGGTCAAGAAAATAATGTATAAATAACTACTTCTATTTGTTTATAGAATAAGGTTAATTAGCTATGGAATAGATTCCTTCCGGTATAGAATCATTGTCAGGATAGGGAAGGGAAAAGTGATGCCATGTTTCAGCATTACAGGGAAAATTAAATCCACTAGGCAAGCAGCCCCTTCCAAGTGGTGGCTGATCTTAAAAGACTGATCTTGATGTCTTCAGCTACGTGACCCATTTGCTCAATTTTGGCTATAGATTATTCTCCATGACTGTAGAATCAACTTATAAGAGCCACGGTGGCACAATGTTTAGAATGCAGTACTGCAGCCTACTTTTGCTGACTGTCAGATGCCTGCAATTTGGCAGATCAAATCTCACCAGGCTCAAGGTTGACTCAGCGTTCCATCCTTCCAAGGTCGGTAAAATGAGGACCCAGATTGTTGGGGGCAACATGCTGATTCTGTAAATCACATAGAGAAGGCAGTAAAGCATTGCAAAGTGGATAAGTCTAAGTGCTATTGCTCTTATAGGTAATATTTGGGGGAGGGGACATATGTCCTACTAATAAATATACTTTTTATAATTAGTCCCTTTTATCTTTCATAAACAGGGATTTACAGCGTTTTAATTTATTATCACCCTGTGCTATATAAAGAATTTACAGAATATAAAATACTCAATAACTATATAATAAAACATATATATATGTAAAAGTGACTGGGCAATTGAAAACAGAAGTGGAAACAAAAAAAACCTCTCTTATTCAGCAGTCAAATGGAAAAGGTCTTTGTGAAGAGAGTTTGTTCAACAAATGTAAAATGACTCCCTCATAAACTTCTGGGAGTGATCATTCTATAGTGTAGGTGCAACCACATTGAAAGTCCATCTGAGAGAACTCAAAATGACACTGTGCATCTGGCAGACATAGCAGAATCTCCACCACAATCTCAGCGTTTGATCAGATCTGTAACACTAAAGGTGGCCCATCAGAATTCTGGTACAAACATAGCAAAACCCTGAACTTGGTTCAGATTCTAACCTAAAGTGCTTCAGTTGCTTCAGCAGAAGTTATAAGATGATACACATTACTCAGCAATATGATTACTGCAATCTACATCACTGCCACTTCTGGATCAAATGGAAGGAAAACATCACTTACATTGTAGTGATATAAGCATAATTTTGCATATGTAAGTTTTCCCCAAGTAATAACTTGCAAGTCGGACAGTTAAATAAAGTAACATTAATGAGGTGTGGTTCCAAAGCTCCTGAAGATTATTCTCAGTGGCTTCATATAAATATTAAACAGTATTAGGGATCAAGTTAATGCTTTATGACATTCCACACAGATCTATCAGAGTCAGAAATACAGCCATTTAGAATTGTTTATGCAAGTAGGAGTCAAATACAGTTAATACAGTATCCTCAATTTACACAATTCAGAAAGGTACCACAGTTGACAATATCAAAAGTTAATGGAAGATCCATCAGAAAAATATAGGGTTGTACTTGGTATATTTTCCCAATATTGCAGACCAGATTTGGAAGAGATCTGCAATGCAGAAAGGATTATTTTGTTCAGTTTCTTGTACTCACCAGCATATAGAGTTGAATTTAATACCAAAATACTAACTCTTAATTATTCCTTTTCTAGGTCCTGTTGTTGCTTTAGAGTTTAATGGAGATGGTTCTATAGCAGCCTGTCAAGACATTGTTGTTAATGTCTTTAGTGGAGCTAAAGTAAGTAGTGGTGCAGATTCTCCCTGAAACTGTTTTCTGGAAATTATAGCATGTTTTTCCAGTGTACTACTTTCTCCACAGAATTTTACTTTTAAAAATGAAATGAATTCTGTCCGTTCTCTAGAAACTTGAAAGCTAGGGCACATGTATGGTTCTATTTGGTGATGGTAATAAATAAATATACATACATTGTGCTTCTGCAAAGTCACATGTTTTCCTATCTATATCAGGGGTGTCAAAACTTGCGGCCTGTGGACCAGATGCATCACATACTGCCCATGCCCACCCCTGGTTTAGCGAAGGAAAACAGTTGCTATATGTCACATGATGACGTGACGATGCAAATTTGACAACCCTGATTTACACTGCTTAAAAAAATAAAGGGAACACAAAAATAAGACATCCTAGATCTGAATGAATGAAATATTCATATTAAATACTTTGTTCATTACATAGTTGAATGTGCTGACAACACAATCACACCATAATTATCAAGGGAAACCAAATTTAGCAACCTATGGAGCTCTGGATTTGGAGTTACACTCAAAATTAAATTGGAAAAAAACACTACAGGCTGATCCACCTTTGATGTAAGGTCCTTTTAAAAAGTCAAACCCTTGTGTGGGTTTTAGGCTCTGTCTCATGCTACCACTAGAGTGAAAGCACCGCCAGCATTCAAAAGTGACCAAACCATCAGCCAGAAAGTATAGGAACTGAGAAGTGGTCTGTGGTCACTACCTGCAGAACCACTCCTTTACTGGGGATGTCTTGCTAACTGTCTATGCTTTCCACTTGTTGTCTATTCCATTTGCACAACAGCATGTGAAATTGATTGTCAATCAGTGTTGCTACCTAAGTGGACAGTTTGATTTCACAGAAGTGTGATTGACTTGGAGTTACATTGAGTTGTTTAAGTGTTCCCTTTATTTTTTTGAGCAGTGTATATTGCCAATATGCCCTAGTGCCTGAGGCAATGAAAAATGTTGTTTTAAATTTTTACAGTATTAATATGTTTGGCATTTTTATTATATATTTTATGAATTTGGAATCATGTAAATAAATACTTTAAATAAATGGTGATTCACCTAGCATTATTCAATTAACTTCTGGCTCATAATTACTGGGGCAAAAATTAATTGAATAATTATGTTAAATTAGTTCGTGAAGTGAATTATCTTATGTATTAGCTAGAACGGGGTCTCCAACCTTGGCAACTTTAAGACTTGTGGACTTCAACTCCCAGAATTCCTCAGCCAGCAAAGCTAGGTACCACTTTAAAGCAAAGCTGGCTGAGGAATTCTGGGGGTTGAAACCCACAAATCTTAAAGTTGCCAAGGTTGGAGACCCCTGAGCTAGAAGATACCAAGTCTATATCATTTAAGGATGATTTAATCTGAACCAGTTGACTGGCTTATTTAAAAACACAAATTAAAAATCTGGAATAAAACACTTGAGTTCTAAATCTTAATTGTGCTTTCTTTTTTATCCTAAATTACAGGTTTTTGTATCTGAGGACAAGTTGTCTGCTTCAAGAGAAATAGACAGTTTCTATAATTTTGCTGATATGCAGATGGGAATGTGAAAGAAATAAAAGCACCTTACTGAAAAATATCTACTTGATAGTTGAATTGAGCATTAGGTTTGTACAACTCTCTGAATTAAGTGAATTTTTTTTACCTTTTTTGTCTTTTCCTTATAATACTGATTTTTCATTAGTACTATAAAATTGAAGTAACTCTAATCCCTCTTAACTGTAATGTGATTGTTTCTTTCCTGCTTATTATATTTTAATATTATAACATTTTCAGCTATAATGGTATATTAGATGGAAGTATAGATGTTAGAAAGCTGGTGCATATTGAAGATTTTTTATGTATGTTTGTATCTTTGAGCATAAACTCAATTTTGTCAATGACATGCTTTATAACATTGAACAAGCATTACTAACAGTATGTCCTGAATTTTCAAACACTTCACATGAAATCAGTATCATTCAAAAGATTTTAATTCTGACTGATTTGTCTCATTACTCTAAAATTAGCAACAATGAAGAAAATCGTTATTTTAATTTTTACTCTCAGTCCAACTCATTATTTTAACTTTTGCTCTCAGTCCAACTTTCAATATTTGATTATACTTGAATGACATAACAGTTCAAGAAAAAGCATTTATGGAAATAGGCAAGGTTTTGCTATGGCTTTGATAAGTATCTCCAACAGGAGATTTGATTGCTGTTGTTGCTGAATTTCTGTGGGAGTGCTGCTTCATATTTTTTTATATTTATATTCCAAATATATCCAATTTGTAAATGCAGATCTTATAGAAATGTGATATTTTACTTAATATTCAACATTAAAGGTTGCAAACCTGCTTTTAGTTTAGAGTATGTATGACTCACTTCTATTTATCTCAATTTTCAACCCTTCTGGTTTGATTTTACATAATGTTAAGCCAGGATTTTTTAAACATAATTGCCTAAATCCTTACACGCAAAAGGGGTTTATTTCTGCAGCAAGCCCTGTTTTCAAATTCTGTGCTGTTAAACTATCATTTACCTATCTTAATTTGCATCCTACCAAAGTTTTTTTCTGGCCAAGAGATGCAAGGCATTATCAGCTAGAACAGCATTTCTCCCCAGGCTGAACTTTATCTTATTTTGTCACATAATTTCTTTTTTTACTCGCTGAGTTCCTCTCCAAATACAGGAGAGTGGTGGAGGTCATAAACTGCTTCTGACTGCAAAAAACTGAGAATAACATTAATCAAATGATGTTTCTTAGAAGATATGTAAGGCAGAAACAGGTCACAGAGGAACTTTGATGTCAACATCCACTCATTAATAAATAAGAAACCAGAATATAGACATATCACACAGCTTGTTCCACCCAAAACCCATACACGTTTCTTTCAACTCAAACAGAGGCCACTTCAAAATTTCCTCACAAATTTACTGTTTAATAAATAATGGTTAAAATGAAACATCTACACAAATCATTTTTCAATATTTCAGATATATTACCTGTATCATTGAAGTGGTTGAATGGTAAATATAGATTATGAGAATTTAAAAAAAATAATGTAATCAGTTTATCACTTGTTCAGAGTGTAGCAAAATATCTTTTAGCCATGCTGTAGCTACCCAGGAACTTCCTTTAAATAGAGTAAATGTTACTGTTTAAGGATTATACTGCAAATTTACTGGTATCTGAAAGTTTGATATTTTACACAACTGTAAAATTATTTTTTGTATAGTGTTTTATATGTAAATACTGGTTTCTTTCCTATATTAGCACTTTATTTTGGATAAAGACTGTATAGAATGTTCACCTGTACACTTTAACAGAAAGCAACAGTAAGAGGAAAAAAAAGAGAGAAGAAAATTTCTGCATTATTCATTGGCAGTCAACTTAATCAATGGAAGCATCACAGATGTTTACTTGTTTTTATATTATCAAAATGGAAGGACTCATGAATTAATTTCTGAATTGTTATGTATTTGATATTGTTTATGAATTGAATTTATTGGTACCATATTGTAGAATTTAAGAAAAATTTATATGGTATGTTACAGCTTTTATATACAACTTGTCTAGCATTTGTGAAATCTGTTTTATAATGAATACTTAAATGAAAGCTTCCTTTATAGTACATTGCACTTTTCTTAAAAAAAAAAGACTCTGGTAAGTATTGCACACACAGTTAATTCCTAAATCTTCAAGCTTATACAGGCTCAATTTATGTTCACAACCAACTCCAGAATTCCAGTTGTAAGCCATTTCTATTGTAAATCCAGGATCCATATGACTGGGCTCAGTTTTATTATCGTTTTTACAATGGTGGTAAAGTGAGTCGTCATGGCTATTAAGTGCACCACATGGGCCATTAAGTGAATCCAGCATATCCAAGAGGCATTTGTTTGCCCATTTTTCTGCCAGAAAAATAGCAACAAAAGTAGCAAATTGTAATCAAGTGACCATGAAATAATGCATCTGGTCATAAATGTGAGTTGGTTGCCAACCTCCCAAAATGCAGCGTATGACCAGACAGGTGGAGGTGTTGCAGCAATCATAACTTCAAAGATGGGTCCTAAGTAGCTTTTTTGAAGTCTTAACCTATTTTTTAAACAAGGACCACCTGTAATCTTATTGTGTTCATTTTAGATAGATTTTGTTGGATCTGATGCTGATAATCACACTTTACAAAAAGTCTAATGAAAAGATGAAGAGGCGGAAGAGGTTTAAAGTTCCTTAGAAACTGGGAAAACAACTACACATAGTCCTTGACTCACGACCACAATTGAGCCCAAAACTTCTGTTGATAAGTGAGGCAGTAAAGTGCCCCAATTTACAACTTTTCTTGCCACAGTTGCAGTTATTAAAGTTAGTAACATGGTTGTTAAATGAATCTGACTTTCCCATTGAATTTGCTTGTCAGGTGAACCTGATCACATGACCTGGGACACTGACCATCATAAATACATGCCAGTTGGCAAGCCTCCAAGTTTTGATCACATGACCATGGAGATGGTGCAAAGGTCTAAATATGAAACATGGTCATAAGTCACTTTTTTCAGTGCTGATATAACTGAACAGTCAATAAATGAATGGATGTAAATCAAGGGCTATCTGTATTTCAGTAATCTTGTTGTAAAGTCCTCAGACCATAGGAGCCAGCAAAAAATTCTAGTCTTTCTACTCTCTAGCTAAAAATGAAAAAGCAATAAATTTACTAGGTAGTTACAAGGTTTTTAAGCTCAGAACATCAGTTGATTTTGAATCTCTCTGCTCAACCAGGTAAAAGCAACAGAATACCACAACTCTTAATTTTCCTAGCAGTTAGTAAAATAACAATGTGAACATAGTACTCAGAATAATCCTGATTAGCATAGTACAAATCCTCTGTCTTAGCATAGTACCAAACCAATGAGTTTTATGCAGGGAAGAGAATAAACTTATTTTGGATCTGGGTGCATTGAGCAGTTCAAACAAGACAATCTGAGCTTGTTATGCTTTGGACAGGTGAAACTCGAAAAATCAATATCGTGCAAAAGTTCATTTATTCCAGTAATGCAACTTAAAAGGTGAACCTAATATATGAGATAGATTCATTACATGCAAAGCAAGATAGTTCAAGCTGTGATTTGTCATAATTGTGATGATTACGGCTTACAGCTCATGAAAACACGAAATCCACAATCTCGGAGAAAATTGGAATATTACATGCAATCAATAAAACAAGGACTGTACATAGAACAATATCGGACCTCTGAAAAGTATAAGCATGCATATGTATTCAGTACTTGGTTTGGGCCCCTTTTGCAGAAATTACTGCCTCAATGAGGTGTGGCATGGAAGCTATCAGCCTGTGGCACTGCTGTGGTGTTATGGAAGACCAGGATGCTTCAATAGCGGCCTTCAGCTCTTCTGCATTGTTCGGTCCCATGTCTCTTGGCAATGCCCCATAGATTCTCTGTGGGGTTCAGGTCAGGCAAGTTTGCTGGCCAATCAAGCACAGTAATCCCGCGGTCACTGAACCAGGTTTTGGTGCTTTGGGCAGTGTGGGCATGTGCCAAGTCCTGCTGGAAAATGAAGTCAGCATCCCCATAAAGCTCGTCTGCGGAAGGAAGCATGAAGTGCTCCAAAGTCTCCTGGTAGACGGCTGTATTGACCCTGGACTTAAAGAAGCACAGTGGACCAACATCAGCAGATGACATGGCTCCCCAAATCAACACAGACTGTGGAAACTTCACACAGGACTTCAAGCATCTTGCAGTGTGTGCCTCTCCTTCTTCCTCCAGACTCTGAGTCCTTGGTTTCCAAATAAGATGCAAAAGTTGCTCTCATCAGAAAAGAGGACTTTGGACCACTGAGCAACAGACCAGTTCTGTTTTTCTTTAGCCCAGTAAGATGCTTCTGATGTTTGTTGTTCAGGAGCGGCTTGACAAGAGGAATACGGCATTTGAAGCCCATGTCCAGGATCCGTCTGTGTGTGGTGGCTCTTGATGCACTGACTCCAGCCTCAGTCCACTCCTTGTGAACGTTCCCAACATTTTTGAATGGCCTTTTCCTGACAATCCTCTCCAGGCTGCGGTCATTCCTGCTGCTTGTGCACCTTTTTCTTCCACACTTTTCCCTTCCACATAACTTTGATACAGCACTTTGGGAACATCCAACTTCTTTTGCAATTCTCTTTTGAGTCTTTCCCTCCTTATGGAGGGTGTAAATGATGGTTTTCTGCACAACTGTCAGGTCAGCAGTCTTTCCCGTGATTGTGATTCCTGCTGAACCAGACTGAGAAACCACTTAAAGGCTCAGGAACCCTTTGCAGATGTTATGGCTTAATTAGCTGATTAGCTAGAATATTGAACCTTTTAGCAATATTCTAATTTTCTGAGATTGTGGATTTGGGGTTTTCATGAGCTGTAAGCCATAATCATCTCAATTATGACAAATCACAGCTTGAACAATCTTGCTTTGCATGTAATGAGTCTATCTCCTATATTAGGTTCACTTTTTAAGTTGCATTACTGGAATAAATGAACTTTTGCACGATGTTCTAATTTTTCGAGTTTCACTTGTATGTGCCCAA